AGAAGGCTCTCTCAGTGGATTCTGCGTCCTTTTTCTCCCAATCTCTCAGGTTTTGTAAGGTTTCCAATGGCTTCAGATCTTTTCTGTGTGATGTATGGGCGCGAGTGCAAGTACGGAGCTCCTTACTTCTCCGCCATCTTGCCCCCTCTCCATGGTTATTTTTTTTATAGTGGTATGCTTTGAATTTTTTTCTCTTTATTTTTGCTGTATCTACTCTAGGTTTTTGCTTTGTAGTTACCAGGAAGCTTACATAAAACATCTTAGAGGGGAGCCTCGGTGGCTCAGTTGGTTAAGTGTCTGATTCATTTTTTAAAAAAATGTTTTATTTATTTTTGAGACAGAGAGAGACAGAGCATTAGAGGGGGAGGGGCAGAGAGACAGGGAGACACAGAATCTGAAGCAGGCTCCAGGCTCCAAGCTGTCAGCACAGAACCCGATGCAGGGACTGAACCCACGAACTTGAGATCATGACCTGAGCTGAAGTCAGAGGCCCAACCAACTGAGTCACCCAGGTGCCCCTTAAGTGTTTGATTCTTGATTTCAGCTCAGGTTAAGATCTCACAGTTTGTGAGACGGAGCCCAGCATTGGGGCTGAAGCTGCTTGGAATTTCTCTCTCTCTCTCTCTTTCTCTCTCTCTCTCTCTCTCTCTCCCTGTGTCCCACCCTCACTCACATGTGCATTCTTTCTCTTTCAAAATAAATAAATAAACTTAAAAAAATAACTAGATTTAAGACAAACAAATACATCTTATTGCTATAGCAGTCTCTTTTAAACTGATAAGAGCTTAATTTTGTTCACTTTAAAAACTCAATGCTTTCTGGGTGTTATATGTAAACCAACTTGACAATAAACTATTTTTAAAAAAAACTAAATGCTTTTACTACTCCACCAATTTTATGTTTTTGAAGTCACAATTCACATATTTTTTGTTGTGTATTTAACAAATTATCTTAGCTACAGTTAATTGTCTTTTAACATTTCACTAGAGTTAAAGGTAGTTGGGATATCACCAGGACCATATCATTGTGCTATCAGTTTGACTATATATTTATATTTATCAGTGAGATTTATCCTTTCATGTGATTTCATGTTACTCGTATGTGTCCTTTTTTTTTCCAGCTTGAAGAACTCCCTTTAGTATTTCTTGTTAGGTAGATTTAGTGGTGATGAATTCTTTCCACTTTTGATGGTCTGGAAATGTCTATATCTCTCATTTCTGAAGTCCTTCTCTGGATAAGGTATTCCTTTTTCCCCTGCCCCAAGCACTCCAAAAAAATTATCCACTCTTCTGGCTTTCAAGATTTCTGCTGAGGAATCCACTAATAGTCTCATGGGTGTTCCCTTATATGTCATAAGCTCCTTTTTTCTTTCTTCTTTCAGGATTTTTCTTTGTCTTTAATCTTTGAAGTTTTATTATAGTGTGTCTTGGTGAAGTCTTTTTTTTTTTTATTCAATCTTAAGCTTTAAACTTCGAACTTTAAGCTTCATGTCCCAAGATCTACATATATATCCCTATGTTTGGTAAGTTTTCAGCCATTGTTTCTTTTTTTTGTTTTTGTTTTTATTTCTAGGAGAGAGAGAGAGACAGCGTGAGCAGGGGAGGGTCAGAGAGAGAGGGAGTCACAGACTGAAACAGGCTCCAGGCTCTGAGCTGGCAGTCAGCACAGAGCCTGACGCGGGGTTCGAACTCACGAACCGCGAGATCATGACCTAAGCGAAAGTCAGACGCTTAACCAACTAAGCCACCCAGGCGCCCCTGCCATTGTTTCTTTAAGTAAAAATTCTGCCCACTTTTCTCTTTTCCTACTGGGACTCCCACGTGAATATTGTTTAATTTGACGGTGTTCTAGGTTCTGTAGGCATCTTTTTCCCAGTTCTTTCCTTTTTTTTTTTTTTTTTTACTCTACTTTGACTGGATAATTTAAAATAATATGGGAGGGTATGGTTGGTTCAGGCAGTTAGGGACCACAACATCAGCAACTGCATGATCCTTGGAAGCAAGAGCAGTGGAGGGTTCTTTGTGGCTGTGCTGGCTGTTGGGGTCTTCAGGGGCACCACCAGATCCAGCACCAGAGGACAAGTTCAAGTAGAATGGTGGCCAGAGTTGGCATTATGAATATGCTCATTTGTGACCTTGAAAGGAGGCATGTGTCCAAAACAGGGTTGGGCCAGTTGTGGGGACCATGGCCAAATATGGACACACCAGTGTCTTTGATGGCCTGAGCTGTATCTGCAGTCACATGGCTTAAGGGGCTAGCCACTGGTGCCTGCATGACAGTGAGGACTTGTGACTGGAGTTCAGGGTAGCAGTGTGTAAGTGTATGGCTTCAAGGTTTAGGATTAGTTTAGGTAGTATACTCTAGTGACAAAAGTCAGGCCTGGTCTCAGGTTCCTGGAAAGCTGCTGGGGCTTGGGCTGGTGTTGTGCATATGCCCAGTCATAGAAGCCAAGGCTGGGTGCTGGTGCAGATTCTGGGTTCACAGTGTTGAGGGTGGCACTGGTTGAGGCACTTCCAGTAAGGGGAGAGGGAGCAGAACTGGACCCAAGATGCTGGCATCTGTGAATGTGAAAATTGTGGGACTGTCAGCAGTAAAATCTTAGAGAGTGTACAGTGCTGTACCTCCTGTTGGTTCCTCAGCAGCTAAGCCTGTTAGGGTCCTATCCAGAGTAGGACACAGAGAACCATGGTCATTCATGCCACATGGCTGATTTCTGTAGTCCTGCCCTTCTTTGTTCCCAGCTGTCTCCATGTGTCAGTTATGCCAGTCTCTGGGAGGTTTTAAACTTAAAAGGGTTATTTGTGATGTCTCTTGATAGACTGGTGTTAATGGTTGCTTTCCCTATGTCTGTTACCCAGCAAGGGGACCTATCTCAGGCCAAGTAGTGTCTTCCTGGTGCTGAGCAGTGCTGGCCTGGGGCCTCGGGTGATAGAGTCAAAATAAAGCAATTCTCCCTACATTTTTGTACAGTTACTCTCGGGAATTTTGCTCCACAGTGTTGTTGAAGATTCTTAAATGGACTCCTAATCTCTAGACCTATTTTTGTTTGTGGATAGCTGTCTAATTTTTGTTCTTTGTGAGGTGACAGATGCTGAAGTGTCCTGTTCCATCATCTTGGTGATATCATACCAGTCATTTATCACTGAGATGATGTTAGCTGTAGAGTTTTTAGATGTTTGTTAAGTTGAGTAAGATGCCCTCTGTTCCTAGTTTGTGAGTTTTTAATATGAATGAATGGGTGTTAGAGATATCAGTATAAACAAAATACAGTTTTGGAAGATGAAAGAAAGATTCAAGCTGGTTGGTTGATAAGCCAGTCCCAAGCTGAGAAACAGAATTATCTCTCTCTTTTTCCTTCTGGCCATTTGGTGAAACTGCAGGGGAAAAGATTTCCATGCAACTGCATCAATTCTTCAGAAATGGCAAATAGATTCTTAATCTTTTCAGTGACCTTATCAAGACATCTGTTTGTGATTTTCTCTTGCTGTAGATATATGAAAAGACAGAACTGGTCTGAGGCAACATGCAGCTTGCCAGGGCTATCTATCTCCTACCAATCCAATTTTATTCTGCACAGTTTAGGAGAATGGACTAGATGTTAATCCTGTGTATTCCCCTGGCGGAGTAGTTTCCCTGCCAAATTTTCCCATGCCACATTTACATTAAAAGGAGATTGGAATATAAAGTCTGGAAAGCACATCAGGTGGCTGGATTTGTCCTTCAAACTCGCAGGAAACTAGGCATTTGAGATAAATATCTATTGAGCATCTAGCATTAGGCCTGCTGCTAAGTAGGCAGCCACTAAATATTTGGTGAGTAATTTATGCCCGTTTAACAATTTTTCTAATCTGCAGAGATATTCAAAACTTATATAGGGCAAAATGTGCTTTGCTTTGACTCTAGTCTTTTGGTCCATTGGGACTTATGAAAAATGCCATTACTATGTCTGAGGATGAACAATGGAAGAGAGTACGAACATTGCTGTCTCCAGCCTTCAGCAGTGGAAAACTCAAGGAGGTAAGAAAATAACTTTCAATTAGAAAGTTAAAGAAGTCACCTGGGGGCAAATAGAAACAAAGATCATAGTCCATCTCATAGGGGTAGTCTGCTGAATTTGGGCTTCTTAAATATGGTCTTTTAGCTTCATGTCCTGGAAGAGACATGATAAGATTTGTTATTAGATGTCCCTACTGCTTCATTCTTATGAAAGCTGTGTAATTTTAGGACTTGATTCTTGGATTTAAATCAGGGGGTGTTGCATTTGTGTGTAGATGTTCCCCATCATTGGCCAGTATGGAGATGTGTTGGTGAGGAACCTGAGGAAGGAGGCAGAGAAAGGCAACCCTGTCACCTTGAAGGAGTAAGTAGAGCTGCACCTGCTGGGCTTCTGACTCTGTCATGACACTTTCCAGCTGCTGCCACAGAGCCAAGTTCCCACTGTTGAGTTAGTCCAGCGAACAAACAGAAGTAGGCATGTGGTGTTACGACTCCAGTGAGCCACCCAAGAAGAGGTAGCACCCCTCAAAAGGCAAGGCAGTCAGGAGAGAGAGGGTCTTTTGTGTACGTGAGGCAGAATTAATTTATCTGCTTGCTTGTCACCTTGGATATTCTAGAAGACAAAAATACATTGTTTGACCAGATGAAACATGATATTACCAAATTATTGAGTGTATAGGGTATGGAATGGCAGGAGGGGAAGGCACTTTGTACATATTGTAGGGCAGTGAGTGGGGCAGGGAAGTTATGTGGAACTTAGAACAACTTAAACCCCTTCTTCATTTTGTTGAGGATATTAATAAAAAAATTAACTTTATGACCACTTGTCCATCTTTTTTTTCCTTCATAGTTTATTGTCAAGTTGGATTCCATATAACACCCAGTGCTCATCCCAACAAGTGCCTTCCTCCATCTTTCAACTTTAACAGAGAGAAGGCTCTGCTCATGGGATGAGGAGAGTGACCATACATATACCTTTTTTTTGGCCTAAATTGTGATATTTTTTAATTATGCAGGACGAGAAGATATAAATTGGAACTGTCCTGGGAAAACTAGTGGCATGTGATCACTTAGCTATGCCTTTCTGTAAATCAATTTTGGAGTGATTTACTATATATTTTTCAACTATGAAAGCTTTTAGATCTTATATTTTCCAGATATGAGTGTGTCCTGAGGGAAAGCTCTGATCACTGGAGTTGAGGAAGAAAGGGTCTTTCAGGATCCTTAGCAGGAGTGTAGAGAAGAGGGGATGACATTCCTTTCAGTACAGAACATATTGTTGCTGTTCTGTAATGCGCTGAAGAGGAATCAGCTCTGAGCACAGATACTGTGGTGAGAGAAGGTCCAGGTCAGTTTCACCCTTCTTGACTCTTCTAGGAAGGGTTAATTATTCCACTGTTTGTTCTGCTCGGACACAGTGCTTATCCACCTTCTATTGTCATACTCAAAACACACTACTGTAATTTTTTGACTGTGGGTCTCTATGTTTCCATGACTGAGCTCATGGAGCTCAGAGGTGTGTCTAACTTACTATAGTGTCCCTATCACCTCTAGCACAGGGCCAGTGACATCCCTGACACATCATGAGCACCTCATGAGTGAGTGTGATGACGTATAGACTCTTCAGATGATCCAGCAGGTGGTTCTGAAAGTGTGGCTTTTGTCTGGACATCAGAATCTACATGTACTTCTTGCTGCACGTGTTGGATAAGAATAATAAGAGGTGCTGATTTTATGTACCCATGTCTTTCATTTCTCCTCAGCATTTTGGGAGCTTACAGCATGGATGTGACTACAAGCACATTGTTCGGAGTGAACATTGATTCCCTCAACAACCCACGAGATCCCTTTGTGGAAAATACCAAGAAGCTCTTAAAATTTGAATTTGCTGATCCGTTTTTATTAGCCTTAGGTAAGTACACTACTGTTTTTCTTTTTCTCCTCTCTTACTTTTTTTCCCTTCCTTCATTCCTCCATCACTTCCTCCTTTTCTACCTTCTTACAATTTTATTGAGATATAACTTCACATAACATATGTTCCTCTTTAAAACGTACAATTCAATTTTTATGGCCTTAGTGTTCATTGGCCATGGAATTGATAAAGAAAATGTGGTACGTATATTCAATGGAATCTCATTGAGCCATAGAAATGGAAGAAAATTTAATTTTTGGACAACATGGCTGGATCCTGAGAGCATTACCATAAGTGCAAAGAGTCAGTCAGAGAAAGACAAATACTGAATGAACTCAATCAGTGCATTAAAAAAATCCCAAACAACCAAGAACCAGTCATACAAAAATGAGATCAGATAAGTCAGGCAGAGAAGGACAAATATCATATGTGTGCACGTATAGGAGGACTAGGAGGAACTTAACAGAGGACCAATCGGGAGAAGAAGGGGGGAAATGGTGGGGGAAAGGGAGAGAGGCAAACCATGAGAGACTCTTGAATGCTGACAAAAACTGAGGACTGATGGATGTGGGGGGGAGGGGGGGATGGGCATGGAGGAGGGCACTTGTGGGGATGAGCACTGGGTGTTATGTGGAAACTAATTTGACAATAAACTATTTGAAAAAAAAAATGAGATCAGATTTGTGGTACCAGAGGTAGGGGTGAGGGAGTAGGAAATGAACGAAGGTGATCAAAGATACAAACTTTCACTTAAAAGGTAAAAAAGTATTGGACTGGTAATATACTACATAATGACTATAACTAACACTGCTATATGATTTACAAAATAGGCTGTATGCATACAAATATGCATGCAGTATTTGTAAATTGCTAAGAAAGTAGGTTCTAGAAGTTCTTATAACAGGAAAAAAATTCGTAACTATATGAGATGATGGATGTTACTAATCTTACTGTGGTAACCATTTCTTTATATGTCAAGTAATTACGCAGTATACCTCATTTTATACAGTACCATTATGTCAATTGTAACTCAATGAGCTGAAAAAATGGGCTAAGTGCTTTCAAAGGTTTGTGCAAGTTTTACTGCAGTCTATGGTTAGATTATCATCCACTCAGAAATCCTGTAGTTTTTTAGTATCACATCCCACTATTCTTAACCCTAAGCAACCATTAGCCTACTTTCTGTTTTAATAGATTTGCCTCTTCTGGACACTTCAACCAGAGTTATATTATATGTAATCTTCTGACTGGCTTCTTTCATTAGCATAATATTTTCAAGGTTCGTCTTTGTTATATCATGCATCATTACTTCTTTTCTTTCTTTAAATTTTATTTGAGGGAAGGGGAGAGATGAGGAAAGAGAGAGAGAGACAGAAAGAGAGGGAGCACATGCATGGGAGAGAGGGGGGAGAGAGAGAGAGAGAGAGAGAGAGAATTTTAAGCAGGCTCTGTGCTCAGAGCCTGACTCAGGGCTCGATCCTGTGACCCTGGGATCATGACCTAAGCTGAAATCAAGTGTCAGACACTTAACTCACTGAGCCACTCAGGAGCCCAACTTTATTTCCTTTTATGGCAGAATAGTATTCCATTGTACGGACGTACTGTATTTTGTTTATCCTTCCATCATTTGATGGACATTTAGGATATTTACAACTCTTGTGTACTGTAAATAGTGCTGCTACGAACATTCATATAGAAGTTTTTGTTTGAATATCTGCTTTCAACCTTTTTGGTAGTTACTCAGGGGTAGAATTGCTAATGTATATAGTAACTTGCTATATTGCTAAGGTATAGTAAGTGTGTTTAACTTAATAAGGAACTGTCAAACTGTTTTTCCACAACAGCTATACCATTTACATTTCCACCAGAAAGTATGAAGGTTCCAGTTTCTGACCATCCTTGCCAACATGTGGTCTACATTTGTCTACCTTTTTGATGTTGGGCACCTTAATGGGTGTGAAAGGGTACCTTACTGTGGTTTTGTTTTGCATTTCTCTAATGGCTAGTGAGGTTGAGTAACTTTTTATCTGCTTGTTGGCTATTTCATAACTTCTTTAGATAAATGTGTATTCAAATTCTTGCCCATTTACAGTTCTGTTGTTCGTCTTTTTGTTTTTGAGTTATAAGAATTCTTTGTATCTTCTATATAAAAGTCCTTTATCTGATATATGATTTGCAAATGTATCTCTCAAACTGTAGTTATCTTTTCACTTTCTTCACAGTATTTTTCTGTAGCACAAAATGCCTAATTTTGATGACGTACAATTTATGTATTTTTACTTTTATTTCTGGCTTTTGGTGTCATATCTTAGAATTCACTGTGAAAGCTCAGATTATGAAGGTTTATCCCTTAGTTTTCTTCTAAGGGTTATAAAGTTTTTGCTTTTAGGTTTGGGTCTTTGATCCATTTTGAATTTCTTTTTATATGTGGTATGAGGTAATAGTCCTATGTCATTTTTTTTTTTTTTTGCATATAACCATCCTCTCTTGTCCCAGCACCATTTATTGAAAAGACAATTTTTCTCCATTGACTGGTCTTGGAAACCTTGTCAAAAACAATTGACCATAAACACATGAGTATAATTTTGGACTCTAAATTAAATTCTATTGATCTTTATGTCTATCCTTATGCCCGTACTACATTGTCTTGACCATTATGGCTCATAGTGTTTTGAAACTGGAAGTCTGAATCCTACAACTTTATTCCTTTTTTTCCCTCAAGATTGTTTTGGCTATTCTGGGTCCCTTACTATTTCATATAAATTTTAAATTCACTATGTCACATTCTACAAAGAAGTCAGCTAGGATACTGATAGGGAATGCATTCATCTGTAAATCAATTTGAGCAGTATCACCATCTTGACAATATTAAGTTCTAATCCATGATCTTTGGATGTTTTTCCATTTAAATCTTCTTTAACTTATTTCAGTAATATTTGTAGTTTTCAGAGTATAAGTTTTACACTTCTTTTGCTAAAACTATCCTTAAGTATTTTGCTCTTCTTGATGTTATTATAAATGGAGTAGTATTCCTATTTTCGTTTTTGGATGTTTTTGTGGTGTATAAAAATAGAATTGATTTTGTACATTAATCTGGTATCCTGAAACCTGCTAAACAGGTGTATTTTTCTAAGTTTTTTTTTTTTTTTAAACGGAGTACCGTGAGGGAGAAAAAGAGGGGAAATAGTGGGGGAGGGGGAGAGAGGCAAACCATGAGAGACTCTTGAATGCTGAGAACAAAGGACAGATAGGTGTGTATGGAGGGAGGGGAGAGATGGGCATGGAGGAGGGCACTTGTAGGGATGAGCACTGGGTGTATATGGAAATCAACTTGACAATAAACTATTTGTAAAATAAAATAAAATAAAATAAAATAAAATAAAATAGTTTATTGTCAAGTTGGTTTCCATATAACACCCAATACTCATCCCCACAAGTGCCCTCCTCCATGCCGTTCACCCTGCTTCCCCTCCCACCACCCCCATCAGCCCTCAGTTTGTTCTCAGCATTCAAGGGTCTCTCATGGTTTGCCTCCCTCCCTCTCCCCAACGATTTTTCCCCTTCTTCTCCCCCTTGGTCCTCCGTTAAGTTCCTCCCAATCTTCCTATACATGCAAACATATGGTATCTGTCCTTCACTGCCTGACTTATTTCACTCAGCATAACACCCTAAAGTTCCATCTATGTTGCTACACATGGCCAGATTTCATTCTTTCTCATTGCCATGGAGTATTCATTGTATAGATAAACCACATCTTCTTGATCCATTCATCCGTTGATGGACACTTAGGCTCTTTCCATGATTTGGCTATTGTTCAGAGTGCTGCTATGAACATTGGGGTACAGGTGTCCCTATGCATCAGCACTCCTGTATCCCTTGGGTAAATTCCTAGCAGTGCTACTACTAGGGGAGTTCTACTGTTAACTTTTTGAAGAATCTCCACATAGTTTTCCAGAGGGGCTGCACCAGTTTACATTTCCACCAACAGTGTAGGAGGGTACCCGTTTCTACACATCCTCGTCAGCATCTAGAGTCCTCTGATTAGCTCATTTTAGCTACCCTGACTGGTGTGAGGTGGTATCTCAATGTAGTTTTGATTTGTATTTCCTTGATGAGAAGGGATGCTGAGCATCACTTCATGTGTCTCTTGGCCATCTGGATGTCCTCTTTGGAGAAGTGTCTGTTCATGTCTTCTGCCCATTTCTTCACTGGATTGTTTGTTTTTCGGGTGTGGAGTTTGGTGAGTTCTTTATAGATTTTGGATACTAGCCCTTTATCTGATATGTCATTTGCAACTATCTTTTCCCATTCTGTTGGTTGCCTGTTAGTTTTATGGACTGTTTCCTTTGTGTGCAGAAGCTTTTAATCTTATTGAGGTCCCAATAGTTTATTTTTGCTCTTGATTCCCTTGCCTTTGAGGATATGATGAGTAAGAAATTGCTGAGGCTGAGGTCAAGGAGGTTGTTTCCTGCTTTCTCTTCTAGGGTTTTGATGGTTTCCTGTCTCACATTCAGGTCCTTTATCATTTTGAGTTTATTTTTGTGTATGGTGTAAGAAAATGATCTAGTTTCATTCTTCTGCATGTTGCTGTCCAGTTCTCCCAGCACCATCTGTAAAAGAGGCAGTTTTTTTTTCCATGGATACTCGTTCCTGCTTTGTCAAAGATTAGTTGGCTGTACACTTTTGGTCCAATTATGAGTTCTCAATTCTATTCAATTGGCATGTGTGTCTGTTTTTGTGCCAATATCATACTGTCTTGATGATGACAGCTTTGAAGTAGAGGCTAATGTCTGGGATGGTGATACCTCCCGTTTTGGTTTTCTTCTTCCATATTACTTCGGCTATTTGCGGTCTATTGTGGTTCCATACAAATTTTAGGATAGTTTGTTCTAGTTTTGAGAAGAATGCTGGTGCAATTTTGATTGGGATTGCATGGAATGTGTAGATTGTTTTCGGTAGTCATGACATTTTAACAATATTTATTCTTCCAATCCATGAGC